AGAGAGAGAGAGAGAGAGAGAGAGAGAGAGAGAGAGCGTATGCTAATGATTTTAAAATTATTAGAATATTTAGTACTATAGTATATTAATATACGATGTTATTTCAAATATTATTTTCTTTTACAGATATAGTGGGAAACGAAACAAATCCATGTCTAAGGAGAAAGCAGAAAGAGAAAAACTATTGCATAAATATAAAAGAGAGTTTAAGGGTGCAATTCGTGAAATTAGAAAAGATCGTGATTTCTTAGCTAAAGTACAAATCGGACAGCAAATTAAGAGCGATATCATACGCAGACAAAAAATAAATAAAATTTTTGGTGAAGCTGCTAATCAGCAGAGCGAATTTAAGAAAATGAAAAAAAGAAAGTAAGATATCGAAAAAGTGTAAATATGATACATAATTTCATTCTCTTAGCGCGTATCAGGAGACGCGGTAGCGTCTCCGGCCATGTTTACATATATATATATATATGTGTATATATTAATTGATGATTAAAAAATGATGAATGTGAAAAATAGAATGTTATTCTATTTTTCACATTCATCATTTTTTAATCATTTTAAGAATAAATTTTTTCTTAAGAAAATTACGATACTAATATTTTTTAAGTCGTAAACAATAAAAAAAAATGTACAAATTACACTTCAAGGAATGAATATATATTGTAAAATTATTCTTTATATAAAAATATTTTAAACAAAGGAATTAAAAAAGAGCATACACCACGACGCTAGATAGATTTAGCGAAAATATAATGTATTTCGTAGAATATTAAAACGAAATTTTTATTATTATAGTAAACAATTCGGCCTTTAATCTGACCATCATCAGTAAACGATGGAATTAATTTTTATATATTGTGAAGAATATTACTTAATTGGCGTTTCGTCCCAGCTTCCATTACTGGACTCATCAGTAAAGCGTTGTAGTGGAAGCCTACCTTATACGCCTACAAGAGTTATTCAATCGAGATTCTATATAAAGAGATATACGCGTATTAAAGCACTCACGAGAATTTGCTAGAGATCCTATAATAAGAGTTTGACCAAAGCGGGCTCAACTTCTGATTGGTTCTCTACCTTGGTCCATTCGGCATTCTTCGGATAGCTTTGTACATTGTCGGAAAACGAGTTCGGAGAATAGAAAGAGACACATAGCGTAATACGAGAAAGAAAGCAATATCTGTTATCTCCTTCTATCCGCCATCTTTGGTCCGCTTTGGCCAAACTCTTATTATAGGATCTCTAGAATTTGCGAATATCAATAGACCTCTGGGCCCCGATTCTCTAATCCATCGTAAGAGAAACGTATACGAAAAAATAGGAAAATGCTATAGTATACGTAACGTGTACCGTAGCATTTTCCTAATTTTTCGTATACGTTTCTTTTACGATAGATTAGAGAATCGGGGCCCTGATGGCGGATCGACGTAGTAAAAAAATATTTTATATTCCATTATAGTACACAAAAAATCTATACTTACATTATTTTAAATAAGATTTATTGCAATAAGAATTTAATGTTAACTTCACAAGGATATGTTTGATATTAAAAGAAACAAAATTCTAAACAAGTGCAATATATGTATGTATGTTATGTAGGGGAGAATGTCCTAAATTAGGAGTTAAACCTGCGGTTACTCTGGTACATTTTGTAGAGCGGGGATTTCTAAAACATAGAGAACCAATTAATACGCGTCTTTCTTATATTTATTAATATATTACTGCATATTCTCTCTGATACTGGATGCTTGACACTCCCATGTAAAGACTCCTTCAAGTTTATATGCTTCCATTCCATTGCATCTGCATGAAAAGACACCTTTACGCGTTGCGCTTCTGTATATACTATACCGTCTGACTCCGAGTTGCTCCGAGTCTTTTTCAGAGTTCAGAGTATACCAGTAAACCAGTTGACCAGAGTGGTCAGAGTCGGTCGGATTGTGTGCGGTAGACAACTCGAAACAAATTAAATAAAACAAGGGATGGGTGTCATTTAATCTTTTTCTGCTGGGTTTAACTCAATTGGGTTTAACTCGTGTCTCTTATCGTACGAGAACTCGTACAAAGAACTCTTTTTTTCTTTCTCTTTTAGTTATTTTTGCACCGTAATCTAAAAATTAAATAAAAATGCCTGTCTTCCATACCAAGACTATCGAGAGTATTCTCGAGCCAGTGGCTCAGCAGGTAATTCAAGTGTCAAAAGAATTACTCCTTGTTATCATTGTCGTCAAATATTGCTGAATTATTTCATTAAGAAATTCACTGTAATTTTCCCTGGAATTTTTATTCAAAGAATGTTATATGTTAATTTAATTAACAGCGAAAATAGTAATTATAATTAAAAATATATTTTTAAAAAATTATATGATTTTTCGTTGAATAAACAAATGTGTACTTTCCATCTACAAAATTCTCACATATAACAACGTTTTCTATTTATGGTCCGATTTAATTGTTTATTGTAGCCGTTTTAATTTTCGCTGTTTGTTTGCTGCAAAAATTGCATTTAATATAGATAATAAAAAAACATGAAAATTAACCGTTTTCAGCTGATGTGATAGTCATTCAAGCTCATATTTTGACAGCAGGCAAATTTACAGGGTATAACCTCGTTGTTTCATCTACAATGCTTTTTATAGGACTATGACATCACGTGCTATATATAGAACAGGGCTGCTATATCTTTTTCAGACATATCACACAGTTTCTAAAATGAAATTTAATCTCTTTGGCTGAGAGGAAAATCTTCCCTGCATATTACTAATTCCAACCTGTCCAAATAAGGACATGTTAGAGCATATAGTGTCATATCATCCCACACATTCCTACATATTAATATATAATGAACCAACTTTCATTTTACATTTTGATATGCCTGCGAATTTAAATATAGTTAACTTTTATAATAAACAGTAATAATATTAATATTTATTTTTTGTTTATAATTTTTTATAACACTTTTCTTATAATACAATGAGATAAAAATAACTAAATATATCTTATGGAATGGTACAAACTGGATCAATTTGAATTATTTAATTATTTCTTAGATTTTTATATTCTAGCGAAAACAAAATTATTCTGATTAGAATCCATTTCGACTTATTTCATGATAGATGCTCTGAATATACAGGGAGTCTCAATTCTTAATACTTCTGGAACTAAAAGAGGAGAAAATTTTTAACTAAAGTTTTTTTTCCCAATTTTGACTCAAACTATTATTTATCGAATTATTAACGATTAAAGTTGATCAATCGGATTATACTCAGGCAGAGTGTGCAGAAAAGCGCAGTATACCATAAGGCTCCTCGTACTGTATATTGTTCCGTTTAAAATTTTATTTTATTATAATTTTTTACATTACTAAATAAATAAATGTATAAATCAATGAATGGGTAGATAAATTATTTATTTATCTACACATTTATTTGTTATAGTTAACATGAAAAATTATAAAATTTTAATTGAGAGAATATAATATAAGAGGGAGGATCCCATAGCGCTTGCTGCACTCCTGCGTATAACAAATTTTTTAAGTTTACTATCATGATATATATAATTAAACACAATTATAAGTTGAAAACTAATCTTTGACCTCTTATAATTGATTATTTTAAACGGAAAATTTAAGATATTTTATTAAAAAGATGAACACTTTAATAATAATTTTATACATTGTATACATAAATAAAGTTCTAAAATAACGCAATAGTTTATTTCATACACACATACATGCATATATTATATGATGACCGATGTAAAATGTGCCAATAATTCGAAAAGAATGAAAAATATAGAAAAACATTTCAAACAAAAGTGGAACGGTTTTGAAAGGGACATATCTTTTTATGATGGATTTTCTAGGTGCAGGCACCAAAAGAAACTTATCTTTACTTTTTTAAGTAAAATTATATGATTTTTCACATAAATGACACGTTGAAGTTGCTTGCATGTAAATAAAGAAAATTTAGGTATAATAAAATACAATGATGAGTTTCTTTTAAAACACTTGTAAAAATGAGCCAAATCTAATTTCCCTCTTTTATGTCCGGACAGTCAATAAATAATACAAAGTGTTTTATGAAACCGTAATGAGATTACACAACGAAGTAGAAATTAAAGCTCTAAACGGTCAAGCTGGATCTTTAGTGCTGAAATAATTCTGTAATTTTATGTACTTATATTCAGTTCCTCAAACTGCACGCTAAATTTATTTTCAATCATAAATATGCGTATAAAGTGCTTTTACCAACTTCTGTTTATTGCGCAAACGTAGCCTATTTTCATTTTATGTATCTTTTACGATTATTTACTGATTGTTAAAAAAAAATAGGAATACCTTTGGCCCCCAACTTTTACAAGTGTTTTAGTGTTTTTTTTTATATATATTTACAAAGCGTCCTTATTTTATTTTATCCAAATTCTATTTATTTATAAATGGCATGCAAGAAACGACAATGTATTATTTTTTGTTTATGATGACATCAATACCCTATAATGGGTGTGTTCCAAAATTGACTGCCAGTACTAAAAACCTATAGTGCTCGTGACGTAAACTATAGATTTTTAGTACTGGCAGTCAATTTTGGAATACAGCCAATGTATGATCGCGGCAACTATTCAAAAACCTTAACAATTAATATTAGATGTATAAATTATTTATATACATAGATTATATTTTGTGTAATGCTTTACAAAAAGCTTTACTTATGTAAATTTATATATATAATGATATTATTTTTTTATACATATTATAATATAAATTCCTAAGTTTATAAAGTATAAATTAATAAATTTGTGATATATACGTAGTATATAAATTCACACGCAATTATATAGACGTACCTGTGATAGCTTAGACCGCTGCGGCTTGTTCTCATTCGGTTTTAATAAATTTGTATTTTTTTTTTGCAAATGGAAATTATTTAGACTAATGTTCATTTAAAACTGTTTTAATAATCCGTTAAGCAATGTGAGAAGATGGCTCAATGATAAATAAACATAAATAAAGATGAGCATGTTTTAATAATTATTATATTTTCTGTAGGTATCAAGACTTGTTATATTACATGAAGAAGCTGAAGATGGAAATGCAATGCCGGATTTGGGAAGGCCTGTACAAGCTGTTAGCATGGCTGTAACTAATCTTGTGAAAGTAAGTGTTTGCAACTAAAGAAAAGATCAAAATTACCCAAAAAATTTTGAAACTTAAAGTTAAAAAAGTTTAGTGTAAAAATTAGTTTTTTATTTCAGCTCTAGATTTTTTGCTTGGATATGTATTTTCTGGATGCAGTTATTTTTATAAAGAAATCTTTCATCAAAAAAATTTCTTTATAAAAATAATTGCAAACATTTATAACTTTATTTTATTATATTGTATCTATTTTAATTTTCAGGTTGGGAAAGAA